ATACAACATAGGATCTTTTCTTTTTGGCCAGCCAGGTGTGGAAACCTATCACCTACCTTTAGACTATCCAAACCAGATAAAATTCTACATCTGTATGCTGCCTACACATGCCACTTTCCCTCTTTGGAATGATATGCACAATCTTTCCTTGAATGGATGTATCCTGTTTACCTAATTCCGGATTATTAGGCTCACTTTGGCAAGAGGAAAGTTTTGGGGACACCAGAATGTGGGTTGGGGCATTGCTGGAGTTTAATCAACTAAAATCACGTAGTTTGCTGTTTAGGGCACTGTCTGGCAAGCTGCCCACTTCTTGTCCAGCTAAGGACCACATTAACCCATTAGTGTTTGGTCTTGCAAGGTTAACAGTTGCTGAGTGGAAAAAATCCTTCCTTCCAGGACATACAACACACTACAACAAAGCAAACACCCTGGAAAACACATGCCAATCTTAGTAGAACCAATTTATATGAAACACTATGAAAGAACTGAGGTGTTAAATGGACATATCCAAGTTGGAATCTTGAAATGGCTCCTATTGAACTTCTTTTGTCAGTAGTCTGTAAAAACACAATCATCCCTTGCTGGTAAATACTTTGATCACAATAGATAACACCTGTTTACCACATAGCCTTGTCGAGACCAACATTCAACACTGTTTTGTCTCTTGCCTTCAAGCAAGTTGTTTGAAAATGTACAGCATGATTGGAGAAAAAAAGGATTCTATTGTACTTGCACTCTCAGCACCCTCAGCATTCTCAAAAGCCTGTCGTTTTTTAAACTCTGTGAAAGTCAAAATTGCTAAAAATATATATAATTAAAGCGCACTGGATGGCCAACAATTTGTGCTAAACGATCGACATGTGTTACAGTAATGATCAAATATATTTCAAGTCTCTTTGCTTCATAATTGTCTGTTGTTTAGACCAAGGTTACCTAGCATTATGATGGACTGCTGTATTTACATCTTTGTTGAAATGCACACCAATGTATTTTCAGCTTTCCTGATGCAGCACAAATTTCATAGAATATTCAATGCCAAAGTTATCAGTGTTCAAGGAACCCTATATGCTGTTATAGTTGTGCTATTGGAGATTAGCCAGGCAACAACAAATTGCCAGTTTGTAGTGTGCATGTGGACACAGTTTTTCACTGTTAGCTTTAATTGTGAAGTTAAATAAAACACCTCCTGTCGTGTAATCTTGTAAAATAGGAGTTTCATGTATTTCAATGACACTGCTTGCAACCAGGTGACAGAGTGATCAATTCACCAACTATTTATCTGTCATCTCTTCTCCCCGATGGATGCCTAAAATCACAACATCTTGTGATGTGACATGTGCTAAACCAGGTGACATGGTTAATCTCTCCCTGATGCAGGGAGACAATGGAACACATTCACCTAAATACATTATTGTGATTAGTAACTCAGTCGCTAACTTTAAACAGGACTGGATGAAACAACACCAACAAGATTACATTTGCATAGCAGGATGAAAGATCCAGTTGTATGCACAGTTCAGGCATCAGAAGTGTACAATTAGTAGATTTTCTGATGTCTGAATTAGTTCTAGCTATCTGTTCAGATTTAATTTAATATTTTCAAATTCATTTCTGAATATTTCTACTTTTTCAGTTACTCGTACCAAACTCCTTAATGTTACCACAGGTTGAAAGCCAGCCACCTATTAAAATAAAGTGCAGTGATAGAGAAATCACTGCCAGGCACAGGCTGTGCAAGTGAGCTCACGGAACATTGAAACTTCACTGTCTGCTTCCAGACACGCAATAGTTTTACAATGTTTCAGGTATGTCTAAAAGCCTGCTGCCAGCTCATGCAATCTTTGTTTCTTATTTAGAGAAAACATACGGCAACAGCAAAGCCTCATAGGAACATAGGAAAATAGGAATAGGAGTAGGCCATTCAGCCCTGAGAGCCTGTTCTGCCATTCAATTAGATCATGGCTAACCTGTACCTCAAATAATCCTGTCAATTCGAATTTCCGCTTTCTCCCCATGTCCCTTAATACCTTGATCTATCAAAAATCTATCAACCTCACTCTTGAAGGTGTGGATGGATCCAGCATCCACAGCCTTTTGGGGGAGAGAGTTCCAGATTTCTACCACCGTTTGACAAAATGCTTCCTGATTTCACTCTTAAATGGCCTGATTCTAATGTTAAGACTATGCCCCTTTGTTTTCAATTCCCCCACCAGAGGAAATAGCTTCTCTGTATACCCTATCAAATCCCTTTATCATCTTCAATCAAATCGCCCCTCAACCTTCTAAACTCAAGCGAATGCAGCCTTTTCTTGTAACTTAACCCTTTAAGCCCAAATAACCTTTAAGGCCTCTCACCTGAACACAGAATAAACTGTAAGGAGTCAGTCTTTGCTGTGAGCCAGCGTGTCTATTGGAAACTGCATCTGTCTGCAGTACCTATTCTATATAATAATAATAATTCTTGCATTTGATATAATACCTTACCACATCTTCGAGACGTCTCAAAACGTTTCATAGAATATACTGTAAAGTGAATTGACTGTATATGTTGGGGGTGAAACCTCTCTGCTACATGTCCGTCTTTTGTGCAAGTTAATTCTAATTCTAAAGCAGTTAAATCGTAGATTATATCCAGGATTACAGTGCATAAAAGTAGATTACATCGACATCTCAACAACCCAGCTGATCAAAACAAAAATATGCCTTGCTTTACTTTATTGCCGGAACATATTGCACCCTCTTCGCTTCTCAATGCAGGTTGTGTCCCAGGACACCCAGCTATGCCTAGGAGTGTGATTTAGAGCAGGCTATTCCCTGCTCACCTCTGTTGCTGCTTTTGACTGGCTAGAGCATTGGTGCTCAGCAGAGTGATAGACCTTTTGCTTATACATATACTGGCCTTCAGTGCACAGTGCCAGTACACTCCACATTTAGCAAGCTTACAAAGCAAGTAAATGACTTGAGACAAATGGTTAATTAATCACCATCAAACGGGTAATATATAACCTCCCTTCAGTCTTGCAAGTGCCAGGTTCTCATATGTCGTTCAGCGCATTGCATTGTAGTAGTACTACTATTCTATTACTGTCTTGTACTGGCCCATCATAGACTGTCCCTCTGCACTCTCTCTTCTTCCATCTCCAAACCTTGACGTCGTCTTCCTCATTTTTCAGTAGTGTTTTCCCCATTACCAAATCGCCTTCATTTACTATTTATAATATTTTCCTGGCTTTCTCCCATGCCCCCGCCCCCCATTTTTGATTCCTCCCTGGTAATTTGTTTTAGTTTTATTTTAGTTTCTTTCTGCAAATTTTTTCAGTTTATAGGCTTGTGTTTTCTTCAGTCTGTGTGGCATTCTTTCTTCTGCTGTAATAATCTTCAACTTTGGCTTCAGACTGCTCTCGTGACTGTTTTGCATGCATGCCAATGCATGCCCAGAACAGATTTGCCTACAATACAAAGCTTATTCTGGAGGCAGGACAAAACACGGTTAGGTCTTAGCCATTCCTAGCCTAGCGTGTCCTTTGGGAATTCACTGAGTTATGTATTTTGCAGTAAACCATGTTGTATGTTTTGTTTAGAACTAAACAGCCTGAAGTAGAACCAGATCTCAGAATATTCCCAAGGAATCTGAGGCCTAAATAATTTACCATGCGTCTTAAAAATAAAACCATGAATAAAGAAATCCATAAATATCAAACTCAAAGCATTTGAGGATGCTTTGGGGGAGCTATGTGGGGATCAAAGTTATGTGAGAACACAAAGATACATAGCAGGATTCAGTGAAACAACTGCACTTCCAAGATCTTTTCATGAGATATCGATTCTCAAATTGTTTACCTGGTTCACATTGCAAACAGGAATTGTGGCTCACAGTGTAAAATGCCAGTCCTGCTGGGGCTTTTGAAGTGAAGTGTGTTTCAAATGGTGCCAGACATTTCAATGTTTTCTAAGAGACACTTCGGGTATGCATACCAGAAACGGAGCTTGGACTGATCATCAAAGGAAACTCAAATTCAGATTTTAGACTGCGTTGCATTATTTTCTCGAGTATCCAAATGGAAAGCTTACATCGGGATGTCTCAAGGTTTAGAGGCTTCACGTGAGACACTGAATCAGTTCTGGCAGAATATGAATGGGCAAGATAAGATCATCGAGGAACATCTTTTTCTAAATGGCATAATCCCTTTGGAACTACAACAACTTGCATTTATATAGCCCCTTCACGGAGGGCAGTGTCCCAGAGCGCTTGACATGGCTGATCCCTTCCATAATCCCTTTGGAAGCGTTATAAAGAATGTAATTTGTATTTGAGAAAATTCTTTGAGGCTCGTTCACCTGTTGGTGCATCGCTTACATGCAGGAAATGGGACGCCTTTAAATCACTCAGACAAAAGCAGTCCTGTTTGAAAAGTACACCACTGGTCCTCTGTTGGCAAGTGTGGTCTAAATATAAATGTGCTACATGAAGTATTTATAAAATTAGCATCTAATTCAAGAGTAGTGGTGTAACCTAAGAATGATTATAAATACTTTGGATGTTCCTTCTACGTACAGATTGTGTGTACCATGTGTCTTCATATATAGCACGTCCTGTAAAATACAAGCGTACGGTTTCCTTTATGCTGGAGGCCAACCAACTACAAGCATCAAATCCATCGCTGCTCACAAAAAAAAACATAAAGTTGTTCTGTTCGATAAGTGTGTTAAGGACAGTGTCCAGAGTTATTTATGCTACAGCTCAGAGAAGACCAATGCATTCAACCAGGGCACGCTTGCACAAGACTCAGTATCAGATTTACACTTGGAATGCTAGTAAGCTAATGCATACTGCATAATACATAATGCATAATACACTGGCCCATCCAAGATTCGCAGGATTTTTTTTAACTGTAAATTTTAATTGTTAATTGTTTAGTGTGACGTGTGTAGCTTATTTTAATACATTTCTGTTCAGTTGCTCTTCTTCACTAAGGCTCTTTCCTCCTTTTTTACAGGCCATTATATTTAATATCAAACTATTCTGGACTATCCCTTCAGTGTTGGTTATGGAAAGGAACCTAGTTTTGCAGATTTTGTTCCTTACGTGCATCGGAAAGGTAAGCCTTGCAAATGGCGCAGAAACTAATTCGTTAATCTAGTAAAAATTGTAATTACTATCAATGCTATACTGTAGTTTTGAGCTTCAGTACATATTGTAGATAGAATAAAAGTAAGCAGTGTATTACATGCATATCATAAGGGATATTAGAAGTATTTGTAGAGGAGATGTACACTGTCTATCCAGTTGCTATCCATTTACCAGTTAAGGATCCCCTCTCACATCAGCAGGCCTGTGAATTTATTTGCAAGTATGAACTCTTCTCCAACAATGGGCTTACAGTCTTTATTCTTTGGAAGCAAACACATGCAGCAGCACTTGGAATCAATGTCAGTCTGGGTGAGTTGGTAGCTCTCTCACCTCAATCAGAAGCCAAAAAGTTTGAGTTCAATCTCCATATTGGACACTTTGAATTTATTCATTCTCGGCGGACCCCGCCATGTGGTGCTGCAAGAGTCACCTCACATTATAGTAAACCCTATGAAGTGCTTTGAGAAGTTTCGTCAACTTGTTAGCCATGATATCAAATGTAAGAATCATTTATTTAGGAGCGAACGGGTTAGAATTGAGGTTTGTGCTTTTCTCCATGTACACAATATATCTGAAGTGATGAAGTACTGTGCAATAAGCCTTTGGAACTTCTTTACAGTACATTGAACATTGACTTATACTTGACTGTATTTTTCTCTACCTCTTTAAGAGATTAATACTAATGGAGAGCAATGTACTCTGATGTCTGAAGCAAAAACTACTGGAGATACCTGAAAATTGTGGGATTTTTCACTCAATGTCTCAATGCATCAGTTTTTGCTGTCAAAGTATAAATTGCTAGAAATTATGAATGTTTAATGCCAAACATTTTTATTTACTTCCATTCCTGCTTTTTTCCTCAGCTGATTGTAGCAGCCGTGCCTACCAATGACACAGAGAAGATGACCGGAAATGATACAGATAATGAAATAGAAAGGAAATCGGTGGAACTGTCCAACACAATTGGCTTCACCAGGGAAAAAGTAATGATAGCACAGTATGAATGCTACCAAAAGATAATGCAGGGTCCTACAATACGCCAAGGTAAAGGAGGAAATGACTGCTTTGTCTGTACTGTTAATATTTGTCAATGATCATTCGTAAGTGTTCCGCCCCAAAAATACACATTCAATTTACTTTACAGTATATTCTGTGAAGCGCTTTGAGATGGCTCAATGAAGCGATAAAGCTCTATGTCAAAAGCAAGGATTATTATTATAAATATACCATTATTATCAGGAGTAGAGAGCCACCCAAGGGCTCTTCAGTCTTGAGAGAAGAAGACTCAGAGGGGACCTCCTAAAGGTGTATAAAGTTTTAAATAGGATTGAAAGATCAATACTTTACGATGCGCCAAGACAATAGAACAAGAGGACATATGTTTAGAGTTTAAAGAGCAATCTCAGGACAGACAGCTGGAAGTTGATCTTTACTCAGAGGGTAATCAATGAATGGAACATATTCCAGCTAAAGTGGTTGAGGCCAGGACACTGGAATTGTTTAAAAATAAGCTGTTGTTTTGATGGGGAACAATAGGATGGATGTTCTGGAAGGATAAAATTGGATGGACCGAAGGATCATCTTCATCCAAACCAATCTTGTGATATCTCCATGCACACAACCCCCCTTAAACAAACCAGGATTGAGATCCCAGAAGTATTGCTGAAATGTCAGTGAAATTACAGTGGTGTGAATCCTGCGCTAGCATTATAAGTGGTGTGCACCCCATTGAGTGGGGTGGACACTGATGAGCAGGGTGCATACTGCAGTTTAACTATTGCCTCATTTCATCAAACACAGAACGTACCTGCAGCATGACCTGGGATGGATGGCTCTGCTGGGATGATACTCCAGTAGGAACAGTAGCCGTTCAGCATTGTCCAGATTATTACAAAGACTTTGACCCTTCAGGTATGGACACTATTGGTTTATGAAATAGCTAACTGGTACTTTTATCCAGCAAAGCTATCTCAAACTGTTTTCATTAACAAAATATTCAGTTCATGTTATTGCAGTCACCAACTAAGGACATAAATCTCAGATTCTATGTGTGAATTTTAGACAAAACTTACTTGGAATCCAGTGTCATTTCAGAGCCTATGGAATTAAGTAGCCTTCAAACTGAAGATGTTTTCTGCAAGTTATCAAGAAGGCTAGCTTCAGAGTAAAGACTGAATTCAACAATATGCTAAATTCTGGATTCTCCAAATTACTATCTAAACTGAAGTAAATCTAAACCCAGTTGGAATTTCTCTACAACATTTGGCATAAGCACCATTTATTTCAGACAGTGGCTTGCTAAATAGAAATGAACATCTCACAGTTTACTGGCTGGCACTGAAGAGAATTGAGCTACAGCTCATCGCAGAGATAGCATATACAGTATCTACATTAACTTTGCAGCATGTTACAGTTTGAAATCGGTCACTCTCCTATACTATCAGATGTTTGTTGCTCCTGTAGAAAAAGTCACAAAGATTTGTGATGAAGAAGGCAAGTGGTTTCAACACCCAGAGAGTAAAAGGATATGGACAAACTACACCCAATGCAATGCATATACAAAGGAGAAATTAAGGGTATTGTCTGCGATCTTGGCTTGTTAATTTATGAAGGTAGAATTCTGAATGAGACAATTTTATTTTTAAACAAACAATCTTTTGAATAATTTAAATGATTTTTCTTCGACCAAACAGACAGCGATGAACTTATTCTATTTGGCTGTGATTGGTCATGGATTGTCAGTCGCTTCCTTGCTGATTTCTCTTGGGATATTCTTTTATTTCAAGTAAGTATTTTCTAGTTACGTGTTCATGTGACAGCAAAACACTGCATGTAGTGTCAGTATGTAACTGATAGTCCCAGACTCAAAATACTGTATCCTGTAATATTAATGGGGCAATAGACCTTTAAACATCCAACTTTAGTTCCCATTCAGTGTCCCCTTCAAATGATAGATAGCAAAATGTCCAATAAAGCATATGGTCAGTACTTGTTATGATCCCAGTCCAGAAATTCCCCCTGGCTGTGGATAACTGGTTTTGCAATGTTTTAGACACATAACCTTTAGAAAATTCTTAAATCCTAACTTAATTGTAACACTGGTTTGGGTGGAGATTCTTTGAAAATGCTGCACAAAACTGGCTTCCAAAATGAGATTGGATTTAAGCATTTTTCCAACAATTGCACGTTCCAGAATATTAAGATAATAGTCTTAAGTCAGGAACCAGGTGGAATTTCTGTCTCCAGGGGTCTGGCACTGTTCTATTTTTACAGCTGTTATTCATTATAAAACCCTCAGACAGTGCATTGTGTACTTGTTACTCTGTTATATTCAGAGAACATAAAACTATACAAGAATGTATGACACAAACTTAACAGGGGGCAAAATATTCTGGCCATTGAATGTCCCCGCATTCCATTTGTGTTTTTCATGGACTCAAAAGAGTGATTACTGTCAAGATCTTTAAGCAGCCAGGTGTGCTACACACTACGTTAATTGGCACATAAATGTTTCAAAGGGACTTATGCACCAGGCTGCAGTGCCGTCAAGGAAGTGAATGTGAAATAAAATGTTAAATGTTGGGTGGGTTTTCATGGGAGACAATGAAAATAAGCACTCAACAGTTTTTGAACATTGCACCAGACACTCGTTAAGGGAATAGCGCCATGCCCTGCACTATTTTTTTTTAACAATACCATTGAAATGTAAGGCTCAGAGCTCATTATTCATTCACATCCAAATCAATAATGTTGCTTACTTTGGGTTTATCAACAACAACAACTTGCATTTATACAGCGCCTGTCACCCAAGTAGTGTCCCAAAGCACTCATCACAGGGGCACCACTGCCTCAGATTCAATTTGTGAAGGAAACATAGTTTAAACACGATTGTAAAATTCTGACAGTGGCTTCTAAACTGATTTGTCTCCTATTGTCCTTTTACTGTATAGAAATAAATAGACCTTTGGATAAATGACTTAGATCCTTCAGTGGCCCAGGTAATTGAAAAACAAAGATATTCCACCACTGATAGACTCTATAAAATTGCATATGCGGTAAGGCCAACTTCACGGTTACGGACTGTTATTACAGACCAATACAATAAACCTTTGCCAGATCCTGAGTGATTTCTGATAGCCAGTAAAGGACTTTGCCCATTGCCTACTTAGATGAATTCATGAGACTAAAAAGGCTTACGAGTTTCTATAGATGGGGATTTTCTGTATTAATTGCCAATCTAATTGTCTAAATGGTTTATAGGTGCAATCTGCTACAGAATGTATAACTGATTTAAAATATTTGCAATAATCCATAACTAAAAGACATCAGCTCATGTATTAATGGACATCTTTGGCATGTAGGAAGCATTTGGATCAAATATACTGTGTACGTGAATAATTGCCAGCTTTAACCCATGGGGCTGCAGACTCCATAATCTGATCATTCTCATTTAAGGCACTGTTGGATATACACTAACAAGTCCATTATCAGTATTTGTGTTGGTTTCTGTGCACAGCTGAATCCACAGGATGAATATTGAGTGGTATAAAGTGCTTAAATCCAGCAACCACAGTTAAATTAAACAGTCAGAGTTTACATATCTTGTAAATAGGTTCACTTGGAGGAATGAGAACTAAAGCGTGTGTTTATTTTTCCTTCAATCTTATGTGAAAAGTGCAGTGCCATTAATACAGTGACATTTCCTATTGTATTTTCTGGCTCAGCCATATGAAATAAGACCCTGAAGGCACAATAAGTGAACAGAATCTCAGTAACTGTCCTCCTTATTGTCTGCTTCAATGTCACAACGTTTTAAGATGGTTTAAAAGGCATCGTATTAGGAAACACCATTTGAAAGAAAGATTGAAAACGGATTTATTTACTGAAACATCATTGGACTCTGGACATGTTACCTAAACTTCATTTCATCTCACTTGGAGCTATCAGATATATTCAGGGTACTGGCAGCCTGAGTACAATGTGAGCAATTTAATCTGACGCCTTTTTTTTAAAACGTGCAAACATATTGAAAACTCGTGTACTGCAACACAGTGTTATTTTGCTTGTCTTTGCAGGAGCCTTAGTTGCCAGAGGATAACACTTCATAAAAATCTGTTTTTCTCATTTGTTTGTAACTCTGTCATCACTATCATTTGGCTGACAGTTGTGGCAAATGACCAAGAGCTTGTTGCAAGTAACCCGGTGAGTAATAATCTAGATAATTGCCATGATCTTTAACAATCTCTGATGTAGAAACTAATGCAGCGCTTAAAAAAAAAGACCAAAATAATGAGCACAAGCACAAAATAAGCAGCACTGGTTTCTTCAGGCTTCTGAAACAGGCAGACACGTCTAAGCGTAAAAGCCTTGATAAGATCTAGCCTTAGTGAATCAGAAAGCGCTGAACAGAAAATCCGACCACCGTCAAGTCATATACATCACCATACGAATGTCACCCTATCAAAAAGTAAAGCCAGAACAATACATCTGGATGCCAAATTGTTGAATGCAGTTTGCTTAAAATAACCTCGTGCCCTCCCGTTCCATCATCTGTGGCTGCGTTTTCAGCCACTACGCTTTGAAACTCTGGAACACTCTCTCTCAATCCCTCCACCTTGCCATCACCTTTCCCATCTTCAGATCGCGCCAGGAGATCTTCTTGTTCGACCTACGGTCACCTCCCCCCCTCCCCTTAGCTTCGGAATCGTGCTCCACTACAGTCAAGCACTCTGGGACGCTACCCTGCATGAGGGGCGCTATATAAATGCAAGTTGTTGTTGTTGTTGTTGTTGTTAAAATCCAGCTTGAAAAAAACTATATTGAAGAATTTTGTGATATGCTCTTAAATACTACATTAAGAGAACCAATCTAGATCCAGGTGTAATTTCTTACCCGACAGCACAATATTGATAATCTGTGTCTTTCTGAGGCATGAACACACATTTACAAAGTGCCAACACTGTTTTCATATTGTCTTTCATCCTTGAGCAATTTTACATGAACCTGAGTAACAAATTACTCACACAAGATGCCACACTACAGCTCAGCGACTAAATAAAACACAAGAAACCGACAATGTAAAAGCTAATTTTGCTCCTTTATTCGAACCGTTAACAGTCTTCTTTGCTTAATTGAGCTGCACAGTTAATTGCAAAACCATTTTCAGCTCTTGCACTAAGCAATTACATGTAACCCACTGTATTACACTGACTCATTCTAAAGCAAAACTATTACCCACAAGCAACCACTGCACTATTCTTGCAGCGCCATACAAATCTCTACATTACATTTTTTTTTGGCAAAATCGTTCTGTGTTTTAAATTCCACTTAGGCCTTTAGACCTTCACGGATGTTTGTTGCTGCAGTTTGTATGTGATAGAGGAAATCCTCAAGCCTTGTTTTGTGTTTTTCTTTCTGTGCAGATCGGCTGTAAAATCTCACAGTTCATACACTTGTACCTAATGGGTTGCAATTACTTCTGGATGCTGTGCGAAGGCATATACCTTCATACACTTATTGTTGTGGCTGTCTTTGCAGAGAAACAACACTTACTCTGGTATTACCTTCTCGGATGGGGTACGTATTCTTTACGTTTACATGCATGCATGTGGAGTCCTGTAGCTCAGTGGTTAGAGCATTCACCTCGCAAGCAAGAGACCTGGGTTCTATTCCCGGCAGGGCAAAACTTTGGGCAAGTTTCCTTACTCCACACCCCTCTGTTTACCTAGTAGTAAGTAGGAACCTGGTCGTTAGTTGGTTGGCGATCACTTTTCCGAGGGTAATAATTTCTTCAAAAAATAATAAATTGGTCACTCAATCCACGACTGTTTGTGGGAAACTGCTGTGTGCAATTGGCTGCTGCGTTTAGCCCACAAAATTTACAGTCAATTCACTTTACAGTACATTCTGCGAAGCGCTTTGAGACGCCTTGAAAATGTGATAAGGTGCGATATCAAATGCAAGAATTATTATTAGTATTTTAATCCACTTTATTCAAGCCACTTTATGCTTCAATTGTAACCTGCATTCAACCAAGACTAAGCACTTTGAGAGAGATTGTCATAAAGAAGTGGCAATCACTTCTAAATATTAGGCTTGGTCTCTTTGGGAGGACGTCTTAGCTTATACTGGAGATTGTAACAGAATCAGAACATTTCAGCATAAGAGGCTATTTAGGCCTATAATGTCTCTTCTTACACTAGCTCTCACTGAAGCTATCCAAACTAAACTAATTTAATCCCAATCCTAAATATCTCATCACATCATTTTATATCTTTACTTTGCAAGATGGAGACCTAGTATTTAAGTGTGCTCAATTATGCCTTTAATGAGTAATCACATCATCCAATTAATTTGCCCCCCCAAATAAGATGCCTGCTAAAGATTCATTTAAACCTCAGTGCCTTGGGATGTCCTCCCGACGTGAAAGGAGCTATACAAATGTAATTTTGTTGTTGTTGTTAAACTGAGGACAGAGAAGAGTGAAGTTTGCACTGGGGATATGCAGCAATGTCCTGTACCTGTTCTCAGCAGAGCCCACTGAACCTGTGATTTGCCATAGATAATTCAAACTGTCTGACTTGTGAATTGGGGTGGGGGGTAAGTTTGCTTTCTGATCGGTTTCAATACACGATTCTACACCACATTTCTAAGGGCAGTGGGCCAGGGGCTGTGTCTGTGGAAGTGCTGTCAATGCCTTGCAATAGTATTTTTGAAGATTAATGGTTTATACAGTCCTCTGTAATGTTACATTTCCCAAAGGAATGAACAAGGCTGCCAAGCATGAGATACACAAAACAGTGTCAGCATAAGAAACTTATAAAGACTCATACAAATGCTCTGGGGGTAGCTATGGGATACGGGGATAGGGCGGGTAATTGGATCAGATGTTCTTATAGAATGATCGTATAGAATGGCGGAACAGCCTCGAGGGGCTAAATGGCCTACTCCTGTTTCTATTTTTCTAAGAAGCAGTGAACATTAATAAAATGTCCTCTTTCACAGGGTTCCCTCTTATTCCTGCCACAATCCATGCAATAGCAAGAAGTATATATTACAATGATAAGTAAGTGGTTTGCATTATCTTTTTAAATTTCAAGTCCATAGTTATATTTTCACATTCTTTAAAAGCAACAGCCAATTAATTTTGTCTTCAAATCCTATTATGCACAGTTGCTGGATCAGCTCTGATACATTTCTGCTGTATATAATACATGGCCCTATTTGTGCTGCCTTACTGGTAAGTATGAAAGTATGGTTTATTAATATTGGTCCCTCCAAATAGTAGAATGTCTAAAATTGTAAGAAAATCTGGAACACCATCCAAGAATCACTCTGACTCCCTTTCCCACTCGCATCGTTTAAAGTTCTTTGCAAGACCTTCCTCACTGACCCCGCCTTTACCCTCCCCACTCCCTTTAGTTCCCACCTCTGGTTCGGGTTACAAGGCATGACTTTTAAGCATTTTGCAATGTTTTCCTGGGTTGAAAGACACTGCGTAAATGTAAATTTGTATTGATTTGTATCTCCCTGCTTGAATACAATTGGTACATTCAGATCCTATGCACTGAAATGATATCAATTACATACATTTTAATATGTATTGCATTGAAATTGTAAATCTGTTGATTTCAGGAGAGAGCACATATCAATACGCCTTAACCCATATGTCTATCTTTGCTTTCGTAGGTGAATTTGTTTTTCCTGCTGAACATTGTACGTGTGCTTATCACAAAGCTAAAAGTTACGCACAGAGCAGAGTCAAATCTTTACATGAAGGCTGTCAGGGCAACTCTCATATTAGTGCCACTGCTTGGGATCCAGTTTGTGCTTTTTCCATGGAAACCAGACGGACAAAATGGTGAGGAAGTCTACGAATATGTGATGCACATTTTAATGCATTATCAGGTAAGCATCAGTTTACATTACAATCGTTGCATTTTAATTCAATGTTCAAGATTCAAATGCTTTTACTTCTGTTATCATGGTAAGTCGGAACTCGGTTGTTAGTCGATTGGCGGATCGCTTTTCCAGGGTTAATAATCCTTCAAAAAAAACCAATAATAATTTGGTCACTGAATCCACGACTGTTTATGGGACACTGCTGCGCGCAATTGGCTGCCGTGTTTCGCCACAAATATACAGTCAATTCACTTTACAGTATATTCTGTGAAGTGCTTTGAGACGTGAAAAGCATTATATCAAATGCAAGGATTGTTATTATTTATTATTATTGTTGTTGTAAATTTATATCATCAGCTTGGTGAAACTTCAGTTCATTTTGAGTGTAGATGAGACTCTCATGTCTACAGTAAAATCAGAGGTGTTAACTGAGCTTCTCTCCTGCCTGAGGAAGGTGAAATTTACTGTGCTCCTAATCATAGAATTATACTGGGCTGAATGTAAGGTACCACATTCACAATGCAAATGGCCGAAGGAAAGCGTCTCATTAATGGTCTTAAGAAAGTAAAATCGGCATATGCTAGAGATGGGTTGCTCACAAAATGTTAATCCATTTTATGCTTTCAGATGCTATTTGACCTGATGTGTAGTTCCAACATCAAGAATTTTCTATTTTAATTTACACACAAATATAAAGTCCATCTGGCCAGTCCCTAAATAACTACACACTGTTATATCAATCAAATAGCCAATTCCTGGCTTTGAGATTCCTGGCACAATCTGCCTCCTTCTGCATTTCACACATTCACTCTTTTCTGGGTAGCTTGCCAATGAACGGATGCATTTTTAGTAACTTGTTTTAAGATGCACAGTTCTCGCAACATGCAGGCAAAGTGGCACCTCCCACCTGCCTCCAAGCCTTTCACACTGCATTTGACCAATATCTTAACGTGCTTTGCAGCTTATGTGTTCTCCAGAAACAAGGAAGGCAGCACATGTGCTAACTGAGAACCAGAATGTTTGTTTTGGAGAAATTTTACATTTGGTTAATATTTCAATCAATTAATATCTGCCTCTCATACCTACAAGCGATATTTTTATTTGCAGGTTATGAACAAATATTTTAGTACAAGTAATTTTATGTATACATTTGTCATAGTGCCGCCTTTCATGTCAGGAGGACATCTCAAAGTGCTACACAGGATTTACAGTAGACTATAGTGACTTTGTGTTTTACTGAAGAACCTGGCAGCCAATTTGTGCACAGCAATGTCCCACAAACAGTCATTAAATGACTCACCAAATGTATTTTTAAAAAAAAGAGTAGGCTCCATGTCCTTATTTATTAACTGTCCTAGTTATGTTTCAGAACATTTATATGGCTCACAGACATGCCATGTGTCACTCTAGAGCTACAACCAGTCGCTCACTCAATCTTTTACTCATTCAGGAGTTGGCAGACTTAAGAGTCTGCCACTCTTAAGAAGAAGAATCAGTTTGGTACATTTAAATTGACTTAAAATCAGGAGCACTCTTTTCTGATAATAAGTCACTCGTAATATTTCCTCAATGGTAGCAGCCCTGAAGTTATCGCCATTCCATTTGTGGCTAGGAAACAAAAGATTATGTAGCATTTCCGATGGATCTTGAAAATAATTCAATTATTAGAGATGTGTCAGGAATATTCTTAGAATAATAAGGAAAATAAGACAAATTGAGCGTTATGTTTGTTCCATTACTATCGGAGTCCTGTAGCTTAGTGGTTAGAGCACGAGCCTTGCAAGCGAGAGATCGATTCCGGCAGGGGGAAGCTTGGGCAAGTTCCTTACTCCACGCGCCTGATAATAATCCTTCAAGAAAAAAAAGCAATAGCAATTTGGTCACTCCATCCACCACTGTTTGTGGGACACTGTTGTGCGCAATTGGCTGCCAAGTTTCACCCACAAATATACAGTCAATTCACTTTACAGTATATTCTGTGAAGCGCTTTGAGACGTCGAGAAGACGTGTAAAGCGCTATATCAAATGCAAGGATTATTATTATCTGGTAATATTATGGCATTTTATTGATACGTTTGTATTTCTTTTGTTAGGGCCTATTGGTGGCAACCATATTTTGCTTCTTCAATGGAGAGGTAAGATTTAAAAAAATATTTTGACACATTGCATTCATTCACAGCAAATTTTTAGGGAATACAAAAACACAGAGTTTGGAATGAGAAAAGGCTTGAGTGCCCAGCCAGCAATGTTGGAGACATCCTCCTGACGTAAAAGGAACTATATGAAAGTAAATTGTATTGTAAAGCCATTTGGCCTATCAATCTCATTCTTTCCACACATCCTGCTCAATCCACAACTTAACTTATTGAAGAGGCCCTTTGGCTTAATTGTTCTCATCCTTATAGAATATAAATCTTACCATCCTCCCATTCAAGCTAGTTCTTAAATAAACCCAGTTTTTGGTCTCCACACCTCAAAGAATCAACACTTTCTGCTTCAACTGTCTCCCTAGGGAACCTGTTCCACAGATTCACTATTCGCTCACTGAAATAGTCAGTGTTTGCGTAGATTCGTTCTGAATTTATCCGACTTCAATCGCAGACCGTGTCCTTTGGTTTAACTATTCTGGACAAGTTGAAACAGTCTGTTATAATCTATGTTGTCTTGCCCCTTTAGAATCTTAAAGAAAGCAATCTTTTCTTTTCCAGCGTGAACATGCCTAATTTACTTAGTCGCTCCTCATAGTCCAGTCCCTCCACTCCCTCAAGCATTTTGGTTGCCCTCCTCTGTATCTTCTCCATTTCTCCAATATCCTTTTGGTACTGCAGAAACCAGAACTGTATCTAAGTGTGGTCTCACCAATGGTTTATACAGTGGCAGGATTACCCCACTATTTCGGTTTGCTATTGATCTTTTGATACATCCCAACATCTGGTTTGCTTTACTCACTGCCACAGAGCATTGTTGGGAGAGCTTCAAATTATTATCAATCAAGCCTCCCCAGGTCCTTTTTATTTCCATACATAGTGTTTTCCTACCGTTCAATAATAGACCCTTCCAGGAATTTTTGTCCCCACTTGAAGTACTTAACATTTCTCCACATGAGTATTTTACATTTTCCTATGAATGTCTAAACGTCTCTGTTGTTGCCTTAGGTTCAAGCTATTTTAAAACGACATTGGATGCAGTACAAAATTCAATTTGGAAACAGCCTAAGCCACTCAGAGGGCCTGCGCTCCACCTCCTGCACTGGGACATCGATTACAGAAGTACAAGGGGGTCTGTATAATCATGAATCCAACAGTGACCATCTAAATGGGAAGAACTTTAATGACATTGAACCAATTGGCCTGAAAACAGGAGAAACATACACCTGAGCAACTCTAGGAATGCCTGCAGTGGTGAAGATTTCAATGACAGTGAACCTTCTCCTTGCAATATTGTGGAAGACCTCAGCGAAGTCTGCACTGCAAGTCCTCTTTATAGTCAAATATTGTCCTATTGCTTTCACTTTTCCTATGACTTATTTACATGATTGCAAGAGAGGTTCGGGTGAAGAAAGCCCTTTGGCCCATTTGATTTCATCCCTGCAGAATTCCCACTCTAGCATTTCCCCATTACAACACCAAGTGGTTTCTTAAATGAGTCCAAAATCCCAGGAACGACCACCCTCCCTGCTAACCCAGTCCAACCATTTAATGTTCCTCCATGTAAAAAAATATTTCCCGGTGTCTTGTCCTGAAATTGCCCACCACAACCTTGAATCTGTGTCCTGTTGCCCTGCGCCTTTGGCATATCTGATCATAAGAGGCAAAGTGAAGGGCACTGTGAATATTTTTATGACTTACGATACAGTGGGAAGAAAACATTCACCACTGAAACGAGTGACTTGTAAATATTTTTGTACTTTTTGGTCTTCAAACCACCAACTGGTATTATTGGCTCACAAACCATAAGGCAGTTGAAGGTAGGTGCAATACCGTAATCTAGTTCCACAGAGAGTTTGTCTTGTTATGTGGTTATACTACTATCTTGGTTACTGTACAGTTATTCACGTGAATCAAAACTGTATGCACCTGACCACTAGCAATCTATGTGCTTGTGTAATTTCACTTCGTGAAGGAAAAAAAAGAATCTTCTTAGCATTCCCTCAGGGTATAGGATTACTGCCCTATAGAAATGTTTGTTTAGTTTTCTACATTTTTAATAAAAAAACAAGCTCTTATAATTATCATATAAGTAAACACTTTTATTATATAATTACTTTGCAGTATTGAATTTCATAATGCTGGAAATAAAATAGTACTCGATTGCTATACCTTTTTTTCTCTGTAAATAGATATTGTGGAGTTTACGTGTATTTATTGTTTGCAGAGTCAGGACAGAGTTCGGGACAGAAATATAAAATATAAACATATTGTCTCTTTATATTGAGGAATTTTCTCAGTATGAGACAGTATCATATTTTCTGATCTATGATAGAGTGTGTTTGATTGACATTACGTATCAAAAATGTGGAGTCCTGTAGCTCAGTGGGTAGAGCACTTGCCTCGCATGCGAGAGACCTGGGTTCGATTCCCAGCAAGGCGAAACCTTGGATAAGTTTCCTTACTCCACACACCTGATAATAATCCTTCAAGAAAAATAACAATAACAAATCGGTCACTTCAATCCACGACTGTTTATGGGACACTGCTGTGCACAATTGGATGCTGCGTTTCGCCCACAAATGTACAGTAAATTCACTTTACAATATATTCTGTGAAGCGCTTTGAGACGTCTAGAAGACGTGAAAAGTGCTATATCAAATACAAGGATTATTATTATTAAAAATGAAGGAACATTTGTTTTATTGTTTGCCAAGCTTCTTAGATTCAAGCGGAATTTGAGAAATGTATTAAAAGGCTGTTTGTCTGATTGTCAAGTCTGAGCAAAGGAGAGGATAGTTATGATCTGACAGTGAAAATAGTGGGAAACGAATACTCCATAAACTGACTTCACATCAATCACTGGTTATAATAGCCTTTAGTTACTATATATCCTATATAATAATTTTGTAAGACCCCTTGCAAGATTTTGGTTGGAACCATTACAATAATTTATAAAAGGGCAAGCTGACAGTTAAATATAACAGTGTGAAAGTCTGCGAAGGTAACGATGCCCTCCTCTAAATAAAACAATTCTTCCATTTATCTGTAGTTATTGCAGAATCTCTTCTCACAGTATCCTCAAGAACACAGTATTATCAGGGAGGGTAACGCGCAAGTAGTTTTGGAAATCAATTTGTTCAAGCCACACTGCTGTTAAGTGCTCCAAGAGACAGTGCACTTGAATGGCACTATACAAAAGCAAGTTGATGTTGTCCAATGCCAACTAAGTCCAGTAGTTATGATATCAACTGATGATAACTTGAATAATTTAAATAATCTTAAATCATTTTGATGGAAAAAGTTTGCTGGTACAAATGGTATTGAGTCAGAGGTTTTTGTACTCGATAAATTATTAAAATAATACCCAAAAAGGCAATTACTATTGCAATTGCATTGCCAGTTGACCCGCTACAGAATGACAACATCATATGGAGAAAATTTCCCGCCACTTAGAAAACAACTTCTTGGATGAATTGAAAGAATTCTATGGCACAGATTGTAAATCCAGCAGAGAGGGTTTAGGAAGTAAAGCAAATGTGTAAATTTTATTGCTGAAATTATTAAAATACAGCTTTCAACCAAACCAAAGAGGATCCTGTCTCCTCAAACCTACTATTATCTCATGTCCGAATGTCACATAGCTTTGAGGCAAGCATTAATTTGTGGCTTTTGTAGATTTAATGTTTATTATTGTCACTGAGTGATCGTGGCAGCCGTTGCTTTTTTCACTAGGAGAACCTTCTGCTGAGTTTAGTTGATTGTTATAAACATAAATAAGGTTAACAGTCGATGACTTGATGAAAGAGTGCCATTATGATATTAATGTAACAAACAAAGAGAATGTGTGTGTTGAAATATGTTGATGCCTGAATGTTTCTGCGATATGGTGTGATCACAACTGTACAAAAGATTACGAAAGAAAGTTTTTAAACATTTGGAAAATAAAACTATTCATGTTAAAGCTTACGCTTTTTCAATTTTTGCCAATTTATAAATGATGCTTTTCTTGTATTAGTGATGACAGAACAACTTTTACATCACAACTGAAGGCTTTCGTGCAATGTTATTTTGTTACATACAGATATGCCTCTAGTTCTGAAACATTTTAAAATGTGCCATCAATATTTATGTTGAAAGGAGCTGGTATTATTTTACGAACATCCCCTCCCTCGTTAAAAGGTTTTATTTAGGAGTTGTGGTCTCTCATTTTTGCTTAACTGGAGCTTTTCACTGAAAATCTCAGTGAGATGCTTACCTTTAGTATTTTCAAACAACTGAGGTACTTTGCCAGCGGCTGAGTGTTCAGAGCAAGAGCATACAATTAATCTACCAGCATATGATGGAGCAATTGATTGTTTGGGATACGATTCCAATTTAGGAACATGGGAGTCTGTAGGTCAGTAAATGTGTTGTGTTTTAAAAAAGAACTTTTAAAAGCGAGGAACATTTTTGATTCGGAGAATACTTTTAATGATTTTTAGTTATAGTTTCAGAGTGTGACATCTTTTATTATCCTGAAATAACATCGCACATTGAGGTGAATTGCTGACCGCAGTCATACATTTAATGCTTCCGAGCTGTGCTGCGAAGCTGATGCTGAACACTGCAAACACTGGTGTCCTTGCATCTGCTCTTTGCTGAGCCATCAGGAGAGATTAGTTTTTTTTCTCTCTGTTGGAATTGGTTCATTAGGAGAAATTTAATGAAGTAGAATTGAATCAATTTGCTTGACAGTGTGTTGCACCATCTCCATCTGTTACACATCAACAGCAGCACAACCCAAACACAAATTCCACCTTAAGAACAAGGTTAGGTTGGATGTCAGACTTTGTTTAATGCACACGGGAAAAAGAGACTTGACGGTACACTTACAAAGTGTGAGCGGTAAGCTCAGGATTGGCTAGGTGCATTAAGTACCAGATCAAAAGTATAGCGTGAGTGCTCTTTGTACTGGAATGTCTATTTGGTACGATTGTTGATGCAGTTCATATTTATTATGGATCATATTCTACAGATGTGACAGCTATTAAAAGGACTGTATCACAAACACTGAACATGTCCATTAAAGACAGTAATACTTATTTAACTCCATGATTTCACCATGTATCTGTGGCCTAGAGAAAACAAGGGTGACCATGGCTCATATGCTACCGCAGAACACTGTAACATTGTGGTAGCCTTTCCATTTTCTGCACAAACCTTTGTTTATTTCGCAGTATTGGTAGGCGGAGGTACTCCTCTGGAAAGATTCCAATCGCCCCGTTAATTCTTCTTGAACTTTTCTTTCCTGGCAGAGACCGTTGTAATAAAAGATCCCGGGTACAGCCTCTGTGTCTTTGACTGTTGCAGAGTCTGGAAGTTACATAAAGCAAACATGTGATGAAGCACAAAGCAAAAGAACAACTCAAATCTTCACAGCATGGCATCACACTGAAAAGTCTCAAAGTGTCTGACATGTAATTACTGGCAATCCGCTTGCACCAGCAATGTCCCACCAACAGCCGTGAAAGGAAAGAAACGCTGACATACATGAATGTTCTGCAGAACGTACCTGAACAGGTTTGGTTTAAATTCAGAAAGTGTGGTCCAATTGGTACTCGTGTACTGGTGAATGGCCACCACACTCCTTCCTCTGAACAGGCATAGATAGGGTACGGTTTACTGCTGAACTGATATTGGTCAGCACACAGGACAACACAGTCCATTGTTCTCAAGTCTATCCCTTCTACTGTCGGATAGCCACAGACAATCGCCCCGTTTGCTGGCAGCTCCTTTGCGCATGGGAAAGCTAGAAAAGAAAGCACTTTGCTGTTGCACAGGTTGATACCATGCAGAGGACCGCTTGGGTCCTACTTAATGTTAGAGGCACCTTACATAAGTAGGATGCTTCACAGGATTAATTCATTGCTTATCAAACAGTTTTGCAACTTTGGAGCACGGCATTATGTCCCCGTGACATCTGGATGCCAGGTTTAAGATTCCGACTTCCAAAGTTGCCATTTTGTTTTCATTGCCTCAGATTAAAGTTCTGGTATCAACAGAGAAACTCAGTCTGCCATGAAAATGCCTGAGGAAAGTCAATGGTTGGTGGAAAAAAAGTCTGAACGTGACTATTTGTCATGGGTTCAGTGATAAACATGTCCAGCTGTATGTTACAATGTCCTATGGAGCAGAATGCAGTGACTAACATGGTTGTGTTGATATTCTGGCATGCTCAAGTTAAATTATTTAAACAGACAGCGTTGATGCAGGTTTGAATGATATAAAAACCTTGGCTATGCTGCACTAACTTTGATACATAGCATCAGAATATATTACAGAACAGTGTATTTCACATATTACAGCCTTTTTCCATTGACTGGACTAAATAATAATAAAAATAATAATAATAATAATCATCATCATCCTTGCATTTGATATAGCACCTTATCACGTCTTTGAGACATCTCAATTCGCTTCACAGTATACACTGTAAATTAGATTCACTGTATATTGTGGGTGAAATGCGGTAGCCACAGACAATCATGGATTGAGTGACCAATGTTTTTTAAAGGGATTATTACCCCCCACCAGAAAGCGATCTGCCAATCGACTAACAACTGGGTTCCTACTTACTGCTAGGTAAACAGGAGCACGTGGAGTAAAGAAACTTGCCTATGGTTTCGCCCCTTTTAAAATTAAAAAAATATATTTTGAAAAGCCTAATAACATTTTGATCTTTTTTAAAAAAAAACAGTTTTGTAAAGCCACTCAGAACCGATAAAATCAAGTCACTGCACAATTCCTCCGTAGCAGCTGCAAACAAGCTTCCTAAAACCACGTGGGGTTTTATTCCCAAAGGCAGGCCGGTAGCTCTAGCTTTAAGAATCTTGGACTCTCACATAAAGGATTATGAGTTTGAATTTCAACCTCAATTGACATTCAAACTCACCCGAACGTCAGTGGGCAACATTATCAGGTTCATCCAGCGCTGGTTAAACATACAGAGCCCTGAGATAAAGCTTACAGAAGAATTAGATTTGTCAAAGGGTATGAACTGATGAGGTAGTGAGTTGGAACCAGTCTTAGAAAAGTAAGTAAAAAATTGACACTCACAGAAATCCATGAGTCTTAAGCAGCCTCATAGTAATGCTTCAAGGACTGTGGAGTCCTGTAGCTCAGTGGTTAGAGCACTCGCTTTGCAAGCGAGAGACCCGAGTTCAATTCCAGGCAGAGGGCGAAACCTTGGGCAAGTTTCCTTACTCCACACAGAGCCTAATAATAATCCCTCCAAAAACCAAAATCAATAATAAATTGGTCATTTTCAATCTACGACTGTTTGTGGGACATTGCTGTGCGCAATTGGCTGCCGCGTTCGCCCACAAATATACAGTCAATTCACTTTACAGTGTGTTCTGTGAAGCGCTTTGGGACATCCTCCGGACGTGAAAAGCGCTATATCAAATGCATGGATTATTATTATTATTATTACTATTGGTAAGGGTTTTTTTCTTCCTCCCTCCTTCTTGAAGGGCTTGATTGGTCCCGGTTTATAACACCATAGGTGTAAGAATTGCTATTCTTCATGTACTTTCCTAGATAGTGAGTGTTTACAGTCTACATGACCTTGAAGGCTTCAATGTTTTCCACCCTTAAATAAGTGTGATCGGTTAACACCACAGACTAGGGTGTGAATCAGACTGTGAGTGTGCAATTCAGGGTGAGAGTCAGCAGTTATTATCGACCCTATTTTCACCTTTACATGGATAACTTCCAGCAATTGGAAGCTGGTCTGGTACCCACCACAATAAATAGACTTACGATCCTGGATTTGCCAGCCAGCACTACATTGATTTCCAAAATTAACCCATAGTTAGTACAGAAGGGTTCCTACTCTAATCATTGCCGGCGACTTAAAATAGAAAAACTTTAAAAAATAACGTTTAAAAATTTAACCTCTCAATATGTGAAATACACTGAACGGATCTGCATATTTAAACTCCATCAACATCACTGGAGGTCATATCTTTTACTGCTCACTGATATGGAAATGAACCCAACAAGGTGGACTAAGAGATTACAATATTTTTATTCTGCAATGACCCCAATTGTGTTGAGGAACGGAGCACTGTTGGCTCGATCTCACGGATGTGCACAGATTTATTTTCAATTATTCAGACCAGAAAGAATGTTGCTATGATTCATCAGGTGGTCAACAGCTGCCAATCTCCTCTCAGGTATCTCATTTGTTTCAGGATTAATCTGAGAAAAACAGGAGATCTTATTTTCTGCAGAGCGCATTGTGCTAATACAAATTTATTCGGGATCTAAGAATTTGCATTCCTTTTTCTCTCTCACCACCCCCACCACCCAACACATTTATTACAAAATGCTAGTCAGGGAACCAGACATTGCAAAACCTTAGACAGCTGATGATTACTCCAGCTGCTAGCACAATGTAATGGCTTTTCCATTGCTTTCATATTGTTTATAAAATTAAAAAGCCATCGTGTCTATTCTCCTGAGTTGACACATTCTGCCTTTGCACATACCTCTGCTGCATACAGAAATACAGTACTTCTAAAGAACTAGATAAGGATGGTAGGTGTTAGGGACAGAATAACATACGTTTCACTGAGATCTCAAACGAGCATTTTGCTGTATTTCCTGCAGGGTCAGTGGCAGTGTACACCATTGAATAGTCACCATATGGCAGCCTATCACCATTGTTTATGTCAGACCCTCCCTTTAACACTGTAACTGATCCTTTTGAATTGTCTTCAAACACTGGCTCCTTCCACGACACCACAGGCAGCTCATTCCAATAGCTGTTCCCTTTGCTGGTTTGAATCCTGATGTTCTGAGGACAGGCCACTACCAGTGGTGCTTCAATATCTGTTTGAACAAACAGAATGACACCAGGTTTAGGAAAAGAAAGTACAATTGTTTGTTATGTTGTTCATGAGAAGCTTGTTTTATTTCGGTCACAACACAACAGATAGGTGTTTGCAAGTTCCTCATTACACAATAGCCATGGTGTGAGCCTTGAGGCCTGAGCAGCACCCCAGTTGCAGCCTTAAAAGACAGCAGCACTAGATTTATGTGGACTTTATTCTGCACCATGAATTTTCGAAAGGACTGAGTGAAGATACCAAGGCAGGCTGGTATCAGATGCAAAGAGGACCAAGTGGGCTTGTTCCATGTCACCTTACATGTGTGTATACTCACTCCTCACTCCTTAACCTCCACAGATGAAGGTGCTAACCCAGTGGGTTACATTTACACAGGCCTTGGCAACCATTCAGTACTCTTCATTGTGTGAGCCGAGACAATGAAAGTCAATAGGGATAGAGAACACCGCAGCCGACTCCTAGTTCTGTCCCCAGCTGCGATCGAAAAGCATGACATTTTAGGGGCACTGGGTAGGGAGTAAGAACAACAACAACAACAACAACAAGCCTGGATGGGAGGACGTCCTAAGGCGCTGGACAGCTGGACAGAACTCTGTCTGATGTTTTCCCTGCCTTACCTTTGGAGCAGTGAGCCTAAATGAGAGGTTCCCTGTTATTACTCCCACTGAGAATGTTTTACTCAGTGGGCAAGGGAACTGACTACTGTGAAAAGCCTCACTGAACAGAAATCCAATCTTTTACTGCTGAATGGTATTCTGGAAGGATGAGATCAAATGGGTTGAGGGGCCTTCTTCATCCTAACCAATCTTGTGATCTTGATAACTCTATTGTTAACTGTCAATCAAATACCCTATACTTCAGTTTCTTTGACAATATGCAGATTGCATCAGGTTTGTTACTACGTTTGCATTCGATCACTCAGTATGAAGCTTAATCATATTCAAAGCTAGGACCACATGAAGCCCAAGGATGTCACGTCTCTATTTCTGGAATGAGTCAGAGAAATACCTGTTTAATGTGTCTCCAATGTGTCACACTATTATTAATACGAATGACTTCAATTCACCCGCTTCTTAATATTTGTATAAAATCATACCTCGCTGAATGTTCCCAGGACCACATTGGACTGAGAGATCAGATAGGTTGTACTTCCCACAGATGTCCGGCTGCAGTATACACTGTGACACAACAAATGGATCTTTTGCCACCAGCTGCTTTGCGGCCTGTTGAATGAAACTCTGGACGGAAGCTGTACTGCATTCGCCATCATAGTATTGCAGCTCGTCTCCTTGCTTTGATTTGCCCCTCTGGCCTGTAAGCGGATGTACCCAAAAATTCATCAGTAAATTCACATTATAAATGCATCCTTTATTAAATTACTCGTGTGGTTCAATAGCAGTATTTTAGTGAGATTGTCTTTCCTGTTATTTTTATGGAAGGCAGGGGCTGGTTCACAAAGTTATATAAAACGAACATAGAGCTGACTCACCAGATAGAAAGTTAGCAAAGCCACTGTCTAGCGTAAATCTAGATCCTACAGAAGCAGACAATTCCAAGTTTGATAATCTGTGTTGATTTAGCTGATCTTGGCTGAGGCAGTCAAAGGGGTTTTACAATTGGCTTCAGGCAGCGTTCCTGTACCCACTTGGAATTTAGTGACTCAATGTTGGAAGGTGAGTGACTAAGACTTGTAATGTCCCTCACAGTTAAAGCGTCTGCTGACACTCACTGTCGGGCTTCATAAATGAGTAGGCCCTTGGGTGAATTAATTAAGGAACCCAAACTCATGAACCACACCAAAAACCAAAACCTTAGACTAATTGGCAGGTCTAACGATTAGATAAAAAACAAAATAAAGTTTGTTTTGATATGCACTAACTGATGTGAGCATTTTTTCCCTTTTCCTTCGTCTTAATTTTTCCCTGATTTAGAAGTGGTATAAACATTGACAGACGCAGCTAAAACAATTAATCTTCACCTTTCTCACTAAATTACTCAAAATGCTCTACATTTCCAGGGTCTGTGTGTTGTTTGAATTCTCGAAGCCTGGCTATTTCTATGATTCATTAGGTAAACCTGATGCTGTCAATTAATGTGCCTTTTTACTGAAAACTGCATCCAACCTACTGCCCACTGTACAGTTCATTTCTGTGTTCATTTGTCACAAAAATCTACAAAGAACGTATAGACTGAGAAAGACTTCCAGTAATATTTCCAGTTAAAATATCAGGCCAATGAAATGTTATACAGAGTAAATCAACTCTGTATAACGTCGGGGAAAGGAGATGAGAGATGAGACTTATAGGTAAAGGAAACAGACCCAGAATCCATTTAACAAAAATAATGACACTGCACCAGATAGGGTGAACATCCGAGGAGATTTAAAACAGTTCAAACAAAAGGAAAACCTAGCCCACATTAGAAACGGAAATAGATACAGCAAATAGACAAGGTCATCCTCTGAACAAGAATGAGAGCACGTCCACAAACAGCCATCAGAAAGTCCCCTCAAAGCACCCAGATATACTGTAAAGTGGCACAACTTGTGGAAGCAGTTACCAATGTCTTTTAAAAAGGAATTAGATCGATGCATAGAAAAGGAGGAATGCTAAAGGTCACAGAAAATATTAAAGATCACAGAGAATAGGGGAGTTGGATTAGATTCTGCTTGCTAATATGGAGAAAAAATGTCAGTGCAGAATTCCTGGGCCAAATGGCCTGTTTTTGTGCTGCAAAATGCTATGAAGAAACAGTCAACAAATGAAAATGCGGAGAACAACAACAACAACACAACAACAACAACAAGATTCCATTTATTGAGCGCCTTTCACGTCGGGAGGACGTCCCAAGGCGCTGTACAGTTGGGTCAGGACCCGAGCAGGGGGAAATGGTCAGGGTGAAGGGAGGGAAGGGAGGGAGCGAGGAGGGGGTAGAGAGTCGAGAGGGGAGCTGAAGGCACGGTCAAAGAGAAAGGTCTTGAGACCGGCCTTGAAGGAGGAAAGGGAGGAGGCGGCGAAGGCACTGGGGGATAGAGTTCCAGAGCCTAGAGGCTGAGAGGCTGAAGGCCCGGCCACCGATGGTAGGGCGGTTGGGGCGGGGGATGTGGAGCAGAGGAACGAAGGGTACGGTCAGGTAGGTAGGGGGATAGTAGGTCAGAGAGGTAGGAGGGAGCGAGGCCGTGAATGGCCTTGTAGGTGAGGATGAGGATCTTGAATTCGATCCTCTGGCGGATGGGGAGCCAGTGGAGGCAGCGAGGGTGGGAGTGATGTGTTCCCGAAGCCTGGTGCGGGACAGTACACGAGCTGCAGAGTTCTGAATGACCTGCAGCTTGTGGAGGGAGGTGCCTGGAAGGCCCGCGAGGAGAGAGTTCCCATAGTCCAGCCTTGAGGTGATAAAGGCGTGGACCAGAGTTTCAGCAGCGTGAGGGGTGAGGTAGTGCCGTAGTCTGGCGACATTCCGGAGGTGATGGAAGGCGGTGCCAGTTGTGGCGCGGATATGAGGGGGAAAGGACAGCTCAGGGTCGAACAGAACCCCGAGGTTCCTGACTGGCTTTGAGAGGTGGAGAGTGCAGCCTTGGATGCTGATGTTGTCAGCGCCTGAGGTGCGGAGGCGCTGACGTGAGCCAATCAGGAGGGCCTCAGGTTTGCGCACGTTGAGCTGAAGAAAGTTATCTCTCATCCAGGACTCGATGTCGGACAGGCAGCTGTCAGGACATCGGTGGTCGTGGAGTTGAGGGTAGAGGAGGAAAGGTAGAGTTGGGTGTCATCCGCATACATGTGGAAGTTAACTCCATGTCTGTGGATGATGTCACCACAGGGGGAGCGTATAGAGGGTGAAGAGGAGGGGACCGAGGACAGAGCCTTGAGGGACACCGCACGAGACAGTGCGGGGGGTGGAGGAAAAACCATTTGTGGAGACAAAGTGAAGACGGTGGGAGAGGTACGACCTAAACCACTCAAGGACAGGGCCTTGAAGGTTTAGGTGGGAGGACAAGCGGTGGAGGAGGATAGCAAAGTAGAAATCAAAGTAGTAATAAATTAATTTTTTGGAACTTTCCTCCCACCTCATGATATGCATTCCTCCCTCGGATATTTGGAATTTGAATATATCAAGACAAAACTCTTTCCATATTTTCTGGGTTTACATTGTATATTTAGATTGCCTCCATGTATTTTTATGCAATAAATGTGCCATGTCACTTCACTGCTTCTCTGGTTCATGTGCTTTGGGAGTAAGAAACAAGTAAGAGATTTCAATTGACGACCAGGAAATGGGTGTGTTTTATAAAAAACGGTACAGGCTGAATTAAGTTTGATTTGGTTGCACTGGAATGGACATAGCTCATCTGATCAAAGCTCAATACAAGTCTCTTGCTTATTTTATTATAATCATTCTTTCGCTCTCTCTCTATCTCTCTCTCTCGCTCTCTCTCTGTCATGGGGGCAATTAGCTTCCTAACAAAGTGAAAGAGAAACCAATATTTCTAACCAATTCATAGTCTCTGTTTTTATTTCATTGCTTTCGACAGTCATTCAGGTAGTTCAGCATCATATCTAACACTGATAGCATAACTGGCTCCCTCTGCTGGATTCATACACAGTTCCAAATATACTATTTTGCAACCCCTCTTCCAAGTCTCCCTGTCCTTTTCTTCTTGTCTCTAGTCTGATGAGCACTTCATTCCTTGTAATATACCCGGTGATGTGTGGAAATTAAATGGAATTAATTCTATTTTGTCTTGAAGCCAACTGGACCTTGCCCAGTGCTGTTGCCAAGTTGTGTGGAAACGTCAAGCCATTTCATAAACACAACATATAAGGCTCTATCTATGTGAATTAACACTTGTTGAAAATGGAAAATACCATTTATAGCACAGAAGTTCATTTAACCATTAATTCTATGCTGGTGCTAGCTCCTCTTTGAACATAATTACTCTAATCCCAATTCCCTGCACCCTCCTCATACTCTCTATATTTCTCCTATTCAATTGTTCTTCCAGTTTTCTTGTAAGAATTTACATATCTTCGAGACATGTACAAGTAGAATATATTGGATGGTGGGATTCAGTGAAGGGCTTTGCTGATAAATTGCATTGCTGAATCTAATTTCTCAAAACCTGCTGACCCAGCTGTACAACAACAGCATCCTGCATTTATATAGTGCCCTTCATGCAGGACAGTGTCTCGGAGTACTTCACACAGCAAGCACTGACCTGCTTCATGTTCCCTCCCCAACATCAGTGGGTGAGCTTTCAGACTTGCTGCCCCAACTCTCTGGAACTCCATCCTAGAGTCCCTCCAACTCGCTCTTTCCCTCACCTCGTTTAAAGTCCTAACACTTTGACGATGTTTTCGGTCATCTTTCTCTGCCCACCCACCCCCACAGTTCCCACCCTCAGTGACCAGTACTGTTCAGCCCTTTGGGAAGTTCTCCCGATGTGAGAAGCGGTATATACATTTGTTGTTCATATGGTGTATGGAGGCTAAATCTGTGTTGTAAAATTGGCAACATTTCTTTGTTCTCAGGTTTATGGGCTATTATCCAATCCAACAAAGTACATAATTTACTCCTAAATATCTATAATTAACTATTACAGGAATTTATTTTAAATACTGAAATATTAGTGCAATAATTTGTTCATGGATAGCCCTGCTTCAAAGTTAGCTGAGAGCTCAGCGACCACAAGGTTAATTTTGGACTCATGGTTTGTGAAACTGACCTCAATGTGACACGAAGATAGTTGGAAACTGATTTCTGTAGCTCTGAAACACCATCTGTCATGCTGAAACCTGCTTGGTGCATGGATAGCTACCAGAATTATTGGAGGTAGTACATACAGCAAAGCTGATAGGTTTATGATCTGGGATTCAGATAGCTATCTCATTGAATTGATTTTCTTTCCCTAATGGCTTATTGAGCAAGTCTGTGGCTCGCAGGTTTGAATGTGGCATTAGGTCTGTGTTAAGTTGGTTGACATCAACGAGAATAGCAGTTTGGATGCTGCAGTTGGTCCAAGTGCTGCCTGGGTTAGAAAGAAGTTAGCTATGGTGTCCACTGCTGAGAGCTATTTATTGACCTCTGTTGCATGTGCTGAGCTGAGGAGGGGTGGGGTAGGGAAAGCATAGTCAAGGAGGTAGGTCTTTCATACGGGCCTTAAACAAGGTGAGGGAAGGAGCGAGTTGGAGGGATTCTGAGTTGGAGTTCCAGAGAGTGGGGGCAAAAAGTCTGAAAGCCCACCCACTGATGGTGGGGAGGATAAGGCAGAAGGACATGACGCAACAGAGGTATCAAACAAGGATAGTACGGAGCTCAGTTATAATGCCCTCGCGGCTAAATACATGTAGTATGGTCAATCTCAAGAGCTAATAAATGAATAGTGGATATCTGTAAGGCCTTGGTGGAAGGAGACCAGCACCCACAGAACCATACCCCAGGAAACAGTCTGATTCAGAAGACAGAAAAGTGGGGAGAAAATTGAGAGGAAGGGTATTCAATTGGTTGGAGCGTTTCGCCCACAAAATATACATTCAACTCACTTTATAATATATTAATAATAATAATAATCCTTGCATTTGATATAGCGCTTTTCACGTCTTCTAGACGTCCCAAAGCACTTCACAGAATATACTGTAAAATGAATTGACTGTATATTTGTGGGCGAACGCGGCAGCCAATTGCGCACAGCAATGTCCCACAAACAGTCATATGGATTGAAAATGACCAATTTATTATTGCTTTTTTTTGGAGGGATTATTATTAGGCGTGTGGAGTAAGGAAACTTGCCCAAGGTTTCACCCTCTGCCTGGAATTGAACTCAGGTCTCTCAATTGCAAAGCGAGTGCTCTAACCACAGAGCTACAGGACTCCAGGCTGGACTATGCAAACGCCCTGCTTGTCGCCCTTCCCAACTCCTCCCTCCACAGGCTGCAGATAATCCAGAACTAACTCTGCAGCCCGTGTCCTCTCCCGCACCATACTCCACGACCCCATGTCCCCCACCCTTGCCTGATTTCCACTGGCTCCCTATCCTTCAGAGGATCCAGTTCAAGATCCTGGTCCTCACCTACAAAGCCCTCCATGGTCTCGCCCCACCCTACCTCTGCGACCTCCTAACCCCCTACCAACCCGCCAGCTCCTTCCGCTCAGCCGGCTCTGTGAATATTCTGGGAAGCGCTTTGAGATGTGATGAAAATGTGATAAGGCGCCATATCAAATGCAAAGATTATTATTATTAATAAGAAATATATTTTCTCACAGTTTCCTTGAATTAATGCAGGTCTTACCATTGCAGCTCTGTGGCATATCATGAGCAGTTACGTGCCAAGACTGATCGTGATGAAACCAACTTGGAGAGGAATCAGAGGACCTGCAAAATGACACCAGACCGATCTTCGTATGGAAATCTGTGCCCCTGATACAGAATGGGATGCAAAACTGCCACTTCTTCACACTGNTTTTTTTGCTGGAGTAAGAAAAGGTTCCACAAACCAGAGCCCCATCTGAGGGTGGTTTCATAGGACATAGAGCAAGATCTCCTGCAAAACAGGTTGCACCGCAGATTCAAATGAATACAGTACACGATAGGAGATTACTATTAGAGAACGGAAGTAGAGTAGAATAACTTTAAATCGAGTCGGGTTAAATCATTTCCCTTATGTACGTCATCAATGCACACAAGAAAGGTATTTAATGACATGCTGAAGGATGTGGTAGAGTCTGGGTCTGGTCGATTTGTGACTCATACCTGTAGCTAATGCAGAAATTATCTGAGCAGTTATCGGGAATGGAGTTTTCAAAACTAAATCACTTAAGAACAAATATCACACACACAAAAATAGCCCAGCAATAGGGAATGGGGGACTGCATTTTGGAACGTAACCCTTTCAAAAACTAATGGTAATGGAAGGAAATTTGGGGATTTACAAGTCAAAGGCTGAGCGTGTTTAATCATCATGTTTCTAGTATGAATACATGTTATACTCCTGTTTCCATCCAGAGTAAAGGGAAGGGCTCAGTACATGTAATCCTTATGTTCCCGGTTTGAGAGTGCAGTATTCGCTATATTTGCTCCAGTGCAGCTGCACATTTAATTATGTGCAATAGCAATGTTCTGGTGCAAAAGCTGACAAGATGACAAAGAGTTTTTTGTAGAAACTGGACCCATTAATAGCTTTGTATGTGATATAGGAATATTATAACATTGGTTGCTAGGTGCTATGTGGAGTTAAATCACTTGGGGGGAGGTTAACTGCTAGAAATGGAAAATCTAATCACAAATCATAATCCCACAAGATGTACTGTGGGGATACATAATGTATTTGAGAAAACGAGAGTTTAATTTTCAAAGGGTTTTTGCTAGAATGGAATAACTTGATAAAAAGGGTCAGATACTGAGCAAATGATGCAGTGCACCTCCAACTTACTGTTAATGATAACTTCAAACTGACAGGATGATTCATTTCCTGACTCATCATGGGCTGTGTATTTAATAACATGAGTTCCAAACCGGAAAAATGATCCGCTGGATATGGAAGTGACGGAAATAAAGGCCCCACTGTTGACACTGATTTCTGGCTCTTCCCATCTGACCTGTACAGGCTCGGTTTCTGAAGTTATAACAATATCTTGTGGGCACTTTTTGATAGATGGTGAGACAGCGTCTGTGGAATTAAATAAAGAGGAGACGATCGAGTTAACGGAGTTTCGTCATAGCTCCCATTGTCCATTTCCACTGTGGGGGAAACAGGAATTGAGAAAGACAAAACAAACCGAGCCAACTGTAGAGTTAACGCTTCAGCAGAAATATTTCCCTATGGCTGGTACCAATCACAATGCCTCTCATTTCCTTGAAATAATCCTAGCAGTCATATTTCCCAACTGCTTTCAAATCAATATTACTTCTATCTAAATAACTATATTAAAAAAATCTTGACCTATGCTTCATTGTTCATATTGCAGTTAATAGCTCTTTGCTCTCTGACTGAAATTATCGCATGTAACCACAGGAGAATCTGGGGTTTTGATCTTATGTTTCTTTAACATAAAGTAAGATTTACTGTCACCGCTTTTAAGATTTTTAAGATCAACAGTTTGGTTCCCTACAGTGAAGCTTTGTTCTATTCTTTTCTGAACACATATGTGTTTTTTTCCTTAAAATGGTCTCTCAGGAACCTGAGCTATGTTGAGAGCATCTTCAAACTGTTGGAAACAACACAACTAGCCTCTGACATACATATCCACTCTATAACCAGCCACTGTGTTATTAATCTTTCCTTCTCCACTCAGAGAAGTACTGAGACCAGCCACTCATCATCTGGAGAAGACCAAGTAAACTTGGATCATCTAAGCCGTGACACCGGGATCTAATGCTTTCTGCTATTCCTTAGTACATTCTTATGGGATGTGAGGACAGAATAAATTATACCACCATGTACATCATACACCTGAAGAACAGTTTGCCGACTGTTCTTCAATGGCTTTCGCTCCTGCCCTAATCACACTTCAAAATGAAAGATTTGATACATGTACAGTGATACCTTGTAGCTCATTATCCAATGGGTTGGAAAGCACTGATCTAATAGAAAGTAACTCAAATACACAGCAGCTGAGAGCACGCAATGATCCAACAGGTTTAGGTGACACCGAGATGTAATCCAGAACTGTTCAATTTATTTTATGACAAGGAGCCCTTCTGTTCAAATCACTGGTTGGACTCAAAGATCAAAAACTTCAATATAAATTACAGAAATTTAGATTTCTGCAGTCAAGTGTGATGTTTCCATCCCTGAACCAACCAACTAATAGTGTAACTGATCCACAGTGTTAGAGCAACGAGCTGTGAGGTATAACACTCGATAAACCAAGGTGATTCAGCCTTAAAAACAGATGTCTTAAATGGAACCTTAAAAAGGAATACAAAAAGAGATAAAGGACATAAACTTAAAAAAAAACTTTCAGATATAATAATAATTATAACAATCTTTGCATTTGATATAAAGGTCTTTGTTACGTCTCAAAGTGCTTGACTTGACTGTTACAGAATTGACTGTATATTTTGTGGGCAAAATGCGGCAGCCAATTGCGCACAGCAGTGTCCCACAAACAGTCGTGGATTGAATGACCAAATTCATCGGTTTCAAGAGAGGCCAGAGTATTATCTGAATGGAATCATTCACGTTCCAACAGAACGAACTAAGAGAAAAACAAGACTGAACCTATTTACCAAAGTGGGAGAGGATCGAAGCCAAACATCTTCTCAGCTACAAGAGGTTTGTTTAACCAAAACAAAACTATGCCGAAACAACAGGACAAAATGGCACGGCTTCAGACTTAAGAAGGGCAATTTTAGGAAAGACTCTAGGAAGTATTTATTTTCACTGATTGCAGGACACTGCATTCACTTAAGAAACAGTTTGATGCCATAAAGGGGTGAGCATTCTGGATGGCAGAGATCAAATGCCAATTGGCCTTTTTCATCCCAAGCTGCTTTCACGCATCATCTACAAATGGGTTAGAGAATCGTCAATCCAGTCCAGCATCTCAGTTTGCCGATAATGTGGCTCAGAATGGCCTTATAGATGGGAAAATGGGAAAACAAAACAGGAATGTAACTACAAATTGTATTCTGTTAAATAACAAAATATTACGATTCCAGAAAAAGACTTGATGTTGAAGAGCGGTCTAGCAATAAATATCTCAAACTGATTTGTGCCCTATGATCTTGATACAAAGAAAATGTATTATGGTGTTACCTGGTACTTGTAGTTTGTTTTGTTCTATCTTCACCACGTTAGAGCCACTGCCAACAGCATGCAATGTACGCACTTCTGATCTTTTGGCAGCACCTGTAAGAATATATCATCATGTTGATCTAAACCAACGGTTTGATAAATCAGTTACATAGAATGCAACAGAAAATAAGTTGATGTAAATTAATAATAGTGGCCATTTTCAAAGAAATTATGTATTGAAACTTTGAGATGAAGTTATCTACAACTGCACCACAATATAAAGTTCAACGGCAAAGGGAAACCTGAAACAGAAACCATCAAATCACACGGATGAACATCTGAGAGCCGTATATGTGTACATCAGAACAGGTTGGCATTATCTTTAGCCACAATTGGAGAAAATCAGGGGTGGTGGTGTTGCCCATTTATATACCTACAGGGAAGCACAGAAACTACTAAATGTACACTTAGACGGTAGGGGTGGTCTATATGGCAGTGTGTTTAGAGCACTTCAACAATATGCAGGTATAATGGGATTTTGAACTTACTGCATGAAAATTCATGTTAAGTGGATCATGTCCATTTTCTCTGGTTGCCATGGTGTGTTGGTTGAGGGGCTGGCCAGTTGCAAGATGTATTTAATGGATAGTTGTATTGTCTTCTATCCCTTGGTATATTTCATTTGGGATTATTTGTCAAAAGAGAAAATAACTTAAGGCTAGAATAATTCCGTTGATCTTGTATTGTGTGTATAAGCCAATATGATTGAGTTTCCTTTCAAAGCTGAGTCTTACTGGAGAGAACGTGTTTGGAAAGTGACAGCAACCTGGATGATCTTAGGACAGTAGGAGTGTTTATTTTATTTCAGATGAATGTGTGTTGGTACTACAGCTTTTGCAATGTCAGTATTGTCCTTGGATTTACTTTTTTCTTCCAAAATGTACGTGCAGCCCGACTGCAAAGCATGGCTTTGTATTTGTTCTTGACGAAAGAATTATAAGATACATTAAACAACTTGAGTGCCATTTTATTTGGCAGTAAAATAATTCTGGAGATGGTACATTTATCCAGTAGCTATCATTAATATTGTATGTATGGCCCATATAACTGTATGATACTTTGGTTTGGATGTAGATATAATTATAGTGAAACCTCAATATGTGGGAACCCCAGTAATAAGGAAAGCTCACTATAACAGTTGCTTTTTAGTTTTTATTTGAAACTAATGCAGGTCATGAGACTTGCATGCAACCCATCACGGTAACACCAGGAAAATTGGCGGTATAACAGAATACCATGTAGAGAAACTGGTGCATTGTGTTCCTAGCATTGACTTGCTATCCCTAGGAAATGTGGATGATATCTTGCTGTTTTGAAGGTTATTTTGAGCATTAGTAATTTTTATGCTGACTTTGTTCCAATTGGAACATTTCAATATTTAAGTTGCTATGGCCAAATGCTACTAACAGCATTTGATAAGGCTCTAAATCAGCAATAAATGCTTATTGCCAGAGGACTAAATGGCAGTTGAGGCAATTATTAGGGCACACGTCCAGTCAACCTAAAAACCTACTGATTTTGCTCCAAGTCAAACTTAGACCAGATATTAATACAGTAACAACAGATTACTATCTCAATACATTTCACATTAGGATACAATGAGATTCCTTTGCAATGAATCATTCGTAAAAAGAATGAATGTGTGCAGCAGCTTGTACCACATGTTTAATAGTCCTCTGGGGTTTAACACCAGTTGTTAGTTAACAATAGTTTTTCCCCCCTTGCTTGCAATTAGATATCACTAGCATTAGCTGAATAATATCAAATTATGTCTTGACAGTGAAGGAGAGTTTAACTTTTCCACTCAAGTTGATGTGAATCCCTGTGATTTCCATAGGGTCCACTGACCGGCTTTGTGGAATGCATAGAAGACTTTGCAAAGGATTCAATTCAGCTGTAGCTGATGTATTCTTCTGCCATTCAGCAAGCGAGTCATGCAGAAGAGTAAGCTAGGGTGTATGTTTGAAGGGTAGTCCAATTGGCGGCAACTCTTTCAGATAGCTGCAGTAATAGCAGGTGAGCTTAAGGAGAAAAAAAGAAAATCAATTCCACACAGTCCTCAAATCATAACCTTGGTGGTGTTCAAGTTACACCAGATCATTTGCAATGAATTCTGTACCTTGGAAAAGCCTTTTGTAGCACTGGTGTCAGAATTTATGATGGTTTCACTCAAGTACTTTATTAACTTTCAAGCATAACTTTTACCAATGCGTTAATTACATGCATCGAATCATCATCATTTGTGTATCAAACAATAAATGCTAGACTCTTAGTGGAGGTAAATTAGAGTGTGCTCTCTCTGTATCTCCAGTTGGTCATACTGGTGTACAGAGTAAAAATCAGACTGGTGAAAGGTGCTACCTATACTTTCTTCAGCTTGAAAAGACAAGTGACTCACTCTCTGGTTCATTGCTGGCAGTGCGCTGGACAGTACTCGATCATCATAATAAACACTTAATCTGTTTTTCCATTAATTTTAACAGGAAACCTTAACAATTTTACTCGGAGGGACATGTCCAGCAAATCCCAGGTGATCGTTTTCATTTATGGGCTGTGATGGCTCACTGTTCCTTGTCAGGCAAAGGAAGTAGATCGAGCTAAAGTGTGCCAAATGTGTACTGTGAAATGTGACCAGTAGCAGCTACATTCAAGGATTTTCCATTGCATTCCAGCATGTGGGAATCCTTGCCAGGCTCGTCAACAAATCTCACTCAACATTTATGAATGTAACCCACAATGATTGCTTTGTTTGTGAATTATTATTATTATGGCTTCCCTTGCTTCCAGTTCCAGTAGCCAATATGAACACCTACACAGCTGGACGAAATGTGTACAGACTGTTCTAGCCTGACTACGAGGAGTTGATGCATCTGCCAGTTTAGGTCACATTTCAGCACAATTCTGCAGATTTTCTGTACATAAAAGCAAAGAATCATGAAATTAAAAGTTTCCTTCGCGCCTCAACAAACACACAATCTCAAACTAAAGTGTACGGCTGGTCTCATTTGTATAGATAAATTGTTTTCAAATGGCTGTAATGTAGTAAAAACTACTATTTGACAACAATTGCCCACTAACGCTCTTCGTGCACTTAGTTTTCAAGACACTCAATCTCATCAAGTGCTTCATCTTCAATGGCTTAAGTCTTGTGCTGACTTCCCAGGGCTCAGCCTGAGTTGCATCTTTCAAATTAACAGGGCAGGTGTTGTTCGTTTTCCAGTTTGCAAGCCAAAAAACTTCCAGATCTAAAGCAGGCAGGCTGCCCACTTGGAAGTATCTGACCTGATGATGGGTACACTTTGAATCTGCTGCAGTGGTTTCAGTAACACGATTTCAAAGAGCTGAAATAGTGGAATCTGTGCTAAGTTCAAAAATAGCTTTATTGAAATTAATCTGGTGGACTTGAACCCCAAGCCCACGTTGAATTGCTGTTGCTATTGGTAACAGTTAAGCTGTTCAAGCTGTCACTATAATGAGTCTGATCATCACCCTCCCAGCAAAGCGTGATGAATCTTTAAAGGGAAGCAGCTATATTACCTGTTTTTCTCTTCAGGGTTGGGAACATTTATAGTCAAATCACTTGCACAGTACATAACTACTACACTATATGCTGTGAAGGGCTTTGAGACATCCTCCCAGCACGAGAGGTGCAAATGTTAAATGCAAGAATGGTTAAATCCAGTCGCATGGATATGAGTCAGGAGTCAAGTGTAAAGAACCCTTTTAGTTTAGGATTCACATTATCCTGTAGAGTTCAAGGTTTTCTAAAACCCACGCGCATAATTCATCATAATTTGTATAACTCACTGTTCGGGAAAACAACTTTAGTTCTAGCAAAGTGTAATTAAAAATAATGAATAAATTACAGACTCCTATGTGACGCTCAAAAGGAATGAACGTGGTATACATAGTTTAATAAGCTATTTGCGAGCTCAAGGTCTAGCCTGGCGCTCTAGTCAGAGATGCCATCCATAATTGCCTATAGGACCTTGTTGCTGCAAATGGATGTGAAATTTTCCCACAAGAAGTCACTACACTTATAAATATCCTCACGTTCGCATACTGTACACTTAGTGGCCACTTTACACTTGCATACTATAAAGTGTAGTGATTGTGTAGGCAAATGTGGCAGCCAATTTGTGGACAACAATGTCCATGCCATGAAGTGAATGACTCATTTTATTTGGGAGATTGTTGGCCAGGACACCGGGAGAAACTCCTCTTTTTGAATAATGCCATGGGATTTAAGGCATTTTAATTAAATAAGGCTCTGTAAAAGAAAAGCAATTTATTTTCTATTTTTTATTTATTTATAAAAAAAAGCTGAAAGCAAGCTGGTGTATGATCAGGCTTTCATTACCATCCTGGTAAGCACAATTTATGCTGATGCTAAGTTTGTGTCGGAAAATCCTTTCTCTTAAGAAGGGTTATACAGAAATCCAGTGTCAACACTGCATAACATATATTTATGGCCCAAATAATAAACAGACATAAAGTTAATTCTCCAAAGTGATCAGTAAAATGGGGGCAAGAGTAGTTGTATAATAGAGTACTGTATGAATGCACATATACATTTGGCCACTCTGCGCTGAATAATGAGTACAGAATTAGGAAAGCAGGATACTTTTCCCAAGAGAGAGTGTGCATTCCAACCAGTTCACAGGGAAATTTCCATATGTGGAACTCTGTCTGGTTTGGATACTCTTAAGCATGGTGATAGATTTTCACATGTGGCAGTCACCCGGCACCAAAGAAAAATGGAGGTAAAGGCTTTGGAAATCTGTTTAGATTACACAGTGAATAAGCAGTATAGCTCTGTCATTAAATAAGATATGTTGCTTAATGTGTAACTTCTATCCAAAACTGATAAAAAAGTGCTGCTTTAAGCACAGTATTCATAGCATCTGCAACTACATGTATGGTACAATGGTACATCATTGCCCATTGATCCTTGACAGTCCGGGTACGAACAGGTGTCCTCTAATCAGAGGATGATCTTATCTGTCAAATGTTAGGCCCGTGACAAATGTGAAACTGCAGCAGTAAGACAGAAT